TGTATGCAGGCTGTGTCAGCCATAGATGGGGCGACTCCCCAGAGCCTGTGGACTTCCTGGTGACCAAAGCAGGTGCTCAGAAGCGGTTAGTCCTCTTTAAAGCATGTCACCAGAACTGGCCGAGTGACCAAGAGAGAAAATTTCCCACAGAGATGTCCTTATCACAGGCAACAGCTTAGTTTAAGGCATGACCAAGTCAAGACTCTGGAGAAGACTGGAAGTACAAAACTCGTTTACATATCAGAATGAGGTGTGCAAATGGTGCTTGTATCACCCCTGACTACACAGCAAGTGGCTGTGCATGAATGTAGACTGGTTGGTCAGCAGCATTGGGTTAGGAGCGTCATGAGAATCCCTAGGACCCAAGGAGGGAGATGGGGCTCTCGCAAACTTGTCTGCATGGACGTGTCTATAAGCTAAATCATTCGTTTGCTCACTCACTTGTTCACTCTGTGATAACATCTCACTTTCACCATAGAAACACAGCCAGGGAAATTGCTGAAAAACCTCCAAGGGTGGCTATCTAGAGATGGAGAGCTTGTTCCCTGGCTTTCGTCACAAAAAAATGCGTGTGTCTTAAAATACTAATTTGAAGACTTGGATAGGTCACTCTTTGTGTCGCTGTTTATCCTTTGAAATTTAAATTTGAAGCAAAATTGTGATTAATTTTTTCAATATTAAGCACTAAACTTATGTAGTAAGAGGCCACTTGTTTTGTTCCCGGCTGCTCAGCCCCGAAATAATCACGCAGAAACTATATTATTTGCAGTACTGTTTGGCCAATAGCTTAAGTGTATTTCTGGCTAACTTTTATATTGTAATTTAGCCCACCACTATTAATCTGTGTGTTGAACATGGCCGTAGCTTACCAGTCTGTCTCTAGCGGGGCTACATGGCATCTTCTCTCTGACTCCACCTTCTTTTTCCCAGCATTCAGTTTAGTCTTTCCCACCTAGCTCTACTCTACTCTATCAGGCCAAGCCAGTTTCTTTATTCATCAACCAATAAAAGCAACACATAGACAGAAGGACCTCCCACACCAAACTTCGATCCTAACATAAAAAAAAACCACATAAATTGTGATATTTTGTTTTCAAAGAAACAGTTCTACCGTTATCTTAGGCAGTCAGTTTGGGGCTGTAAAATCTTTTTATTTTCACATAACCCAGGTGGACATATGCAATTAAACAAGGTTGGATTGAAATAACACCACACCATTCAACAGCAGAGAGTTAGGGAAGAGAAAAAAAAAACAGACCTCATGTTTGTCAGTTAGTCCTTTTTTAATAAATTTGAATTCATTCAACAAGTTTCATATTGTATCTGTCACTCAATTTTGCTGTTTTTTTTTTCACGTCAAATAATACGAAAAAATTACATCAATGTGCTTAAGCAAAATCGGGTTTAAGTTTATCTTTACAATGAAATGAAATCGACATGGATATCAATCAGGACAGCAACCGCCTATTCCTACTAGAACAATCCTGTACTTACCTTGAACACATCTACTGACTTGGGAAGTAGAAAAAGGAGTCACGAATGACATGTGTGGGCCATCCCTAGGAGAGGTACCACCAAGTGTGACATGTGTGTGAGCCACTCTGGGAGGTCACTGTCCCAAGGTGAGGGGTTTAGTCATTCAGGAAAACACGGCACCTTTCAACGCAGGAGAAGAGGTAATCAGGCCAAGGCACGCTCGCCAGTGTCCTGGGAAATCCACTCCACCAGGGCAGGTCTTCGCCCCCAGAGACGACGTTACTCTGCTGGAAAGTTCGCACTGACGGGAGAGCCAGCACTCATTCCAAGAGTAACCAAATATTTTACCAGTGGTTCAGTTGGCTTACAGAAAATGGCCAGAAATATGAACTCAGTTTCAGGTGGAGGGTTAAAATATGAATTATAGTAGGTTTATGCTTTTAAGCAAGGAGGTTCAAAATTGGACACATCTTTTCAGAATGTGTTCACAAGGGGCAAACACCTACAACTGCCACGTGCCTGTCTCCTTCGAGATCATCTCATTGGTGACACTGTCAACTCCATGTTTGAAAACAAGAGAGGAGATTTTGGTGGGAACAGCTGAAGATGTCCCCATGTTGGCATCCAAACGCACAATACTGCAGATGGACATGTCGCTTAAAGCCTCGTGGGAATATTATGATGACATGCTTTCTAGTTCTTCTGAGATTCAGGGGCATTGAGTGGATTATGGCATTGGCATCACAACCTCTCAACAGTTCTGGGGTTGGAAATCAGGAGTGACTTTTGTTTTAAAGATGATTCCACTCTGGTCAGCCTTTCTTGGCTGGGACTGATGGAGGAGGGCTCTTGGGTTGTCATAGACACATCTGAAAATGACCAAATAAGGGGCTAACATCAAGGTGTCAACATCGCGAGCCCTTGGCGAAGCATCTCATCTTAGAAAGACAGTACTACTGAGAAAATTAGTGTTTCTTGAGTTGATGGGAAATGAAGTTTTCTATTCTTAAGAACTCTGGGCATGGGTAACAGCCACCTCCATCACAGGTCCTGGTGGAATCCTGGCATGTGCTCGCCCACTGGCTCCAACAGCTACTAGACAGTGACGAGAGGCTACCTTCCTGGAACAGGGATCAGATCCCACTCTTCCGCTAGAACAGCCAGAGTTCTCACCTCAACGCTTCTCGCAGCTTTGAAAAATAGAGAAGCCATAAAATAACTTATTAGGATGAAAATGCTTTTCTTCTGAAATGGAGTAAGGCAAATACATACCCAAGGATCTTAAAAATGAGTTGTTTTTTTTTTTACAGAATAAATGTATGTATTTGTGTGTGTGTGTATGTGTGTGTGTGTAATTACAAACACTACTTAGAGTCTAGCTACTATGGTAACTTCATTGCAGTGTCTATAAATTTGTGGATCCCAGTCTTGGTGCCAAATGCATATAAAAAGCTTAAAAGCTGTTATGACTACACCATGCAAATTCATATCCAGAGATTCCCAGGGAGCATGTGTGGCTCTTCTGAGCCCCGTGGAGTCTCTGTCTCTGATATGTGGGTATCTCAACGATGCATCAAAAAATTTTTGAGTCACTTTTCTCCCAGAAAAAAAAAGTCACAGTTCTTAGTATGATAAACACTCAGCGGCTGACCCCTTCTGCCACATGGCTGGCCTTTGGGGGTCCCTCTTCGACCTGTGGCTCACGCCTTGAGTGACAGGGTACACAGAGAAATACCTGAAGTATTGAAAGGGATAAGGTCTCGCAAACATTTGCTTTTCTTTAATATGTTACAACGATAAGGCCACTTACAGAATTTTTTTTTTCCGAATCTGTTTAACTCTTTGTCTCCTCCTACTGTTACCCATGAAAAAGAAGATTTCCAGAGAAAAGCCCAAATTCGCAGGCTCATCTCCAGGGAGAAAAGACAGCCAAGGAGCAGTGATTGGAAGAAGACTTAGCAGACAAGAATGGAGGTGGATAAGGGCATCAAATTCAGCCACTGTCCCTAACATAAGATTCTGTGGATTAGCTTTGATCTAAGCTTGGGTTTGGAAAAGTCAGATTCCCACATACTAAGGATTGCTATGGCCACCAACAAATCAAGGAGTATCAGTCCATGGAGGCAGTCCACACTGCACACATCTTGGGGAGGGTGGTGATGCTGCCTGTGTGGTAAACGATGGTGCCAGACGTGAGGGTGACGCATGCGTGGGGTGTGGGGGCTATTAATTCAGCAGTTCTTCACTGCAGGTTTTGCTTTTTATCCTGTCTTCCCAATGCTTCGCTGTGACACCTGCTCACATGACTGCAGTCAGTTATGGATGCCCGTGATAGAAAGAGTTTACAAAAAATATATCATCTTTGTTTGTCTTTAGAAAGAACTCATCTAAATAGTAAGTTAAGGTTGCGTCTATGAAACCGGTGCACCTTGTCTTGTTTCTACGAGCTTTAAAAAGTCCAAATACTGATGAGGCTGTGGGTCAGAAGGAACCAAAAGAGACCTGTGTTTGTGTCAGGTTGCCCTCCTTGCCTCGGGAACGGTCATGGGTCGTTGTGTGATCGCGGTGTGTACTGGTCGTGTTCCTGCAGAATCCTAGTCAGTCTAGGAGGAGCTGGGTGTGCTTATGAGACAATGTCAGTACAGAAATAAAGGCTGTGAGGATGTTTCTTGAGTTTCCAAAAGTGAACAATAGAAACATTTTTAGGTTCAGTCTTAATCTCTAGATAACAGAAAGTAGTTCTATCACAGAATGAAAAGTATGACGTCGCATGCTGCCATGGTAGCAAGCAGAGAAACAAAATCCTGGTAATATACATATGTATGCATATTATGCAAATATATTCATATTAACATACGATGTTATAAGAACGGTAACGTAACTGCAAGGGGGAATCACTCTAGATGGTTTTACCTCAGAGTAACAAAGAACCTGAGACGCCTATGCTTCCAGTTCTACAGAGGACCTAGAGATCGGGACAGGATGGAGAGCACACTTTCGTGACTGGATCTCATTATCAAAACGCGCCCTTGTGTTCCCACAAGACAGTTAAGCTGGACCCACTTCGCGTTAACAGAAATCCCCCTCATGTACGGGACGGTGGAGTACTCACAATGGGACACCGCTTACTCCTGGTGAGGTTGCAAGAGATGGACTCTCAGACACGAGCATGGGAGCTACCTACCGGTGAGGATCAGGTAAGAGAGCTGCCAGAGACTCGCCTCGTCTGCTAACCCCGATACAGAGAAGCAAACCTGATGAAACAAGCCCGTCACACAGAAGCCAACAAGCCTTGGCTGCAAACTGAAAGAGAGGACATGAGGCGCACAACTTGCGCTGTGGGAGTTCCCAAAGATTAGCTAAGAAATTCCTTCCTGGTTTTTCAGAGAAAATATCGAACTTAGGATAATAAAAGACATACTTTGGGATGACTGTGTTTCGCACCCTCATTCTTGAGGCGTAATATTTAGATACTTGTCCCTTTCAATTAGAAAAAGAAAAAAAAAGCTATGACTTTCTTTAATATGCATCCTGTGTTAAATTGTCCATAGTTGCAAAATGTACGGCATGTGTGCGTATTTGTCGTACATACGCAGATAGTCACACCTGCGTATATAAACATATACACATACACCCTCATATACACGTGTCTTTTATATATATGCTGAGAAAGTTCACATATATATATACAATTGTGTGTGTGTGGGTGTGTGTAGGTGTGTGTGTACTGGTATAAAAACTTGACAGGCAGGGTAATATTTCACTCAGTGTTAAATGGAGTCTTTGAAAAATCAAGTACAGTCACTCAGTTAACATAGTACAGCCAGTAAACTAAGTTGAAAAGGGAAAAGGTGAAGGGAAACACGATCCTGGACCATCTGTCTATGGCATTCACATCGGTGAGATCGGGGATTTTGATCTTGAGCTGTGAAGACCTCCTCCGTAGGTGGGTCTTCTTGTGCGGGATGCTTCTGTCTCCCATGTACCGCCCGTGCCCTTCCCTGGGCATGCTCTGTTTCCTATACTGGATTCCTGAGTTGTCAAAGGATATTGCTGAATTCCTGGTGTCTCCGACGCCGCCTGCGACCTCATTCATTTCGTTGTGAACTTCCAGCGATGTTAATAGGATGTTCCCGTGAGCATCCACCTAAGTGTGGAGAAAAGAGACACCCTTAGGAGCTGGCATGCCCATTCGTTTACTTTTATATACAAGCCCAGGACAGAGTGATGTTACAGAATCATCCAATGTCATTTATGAGAAGGTGTCCATCTGTCAACCCTTTGCCGCATTTTATAGGAAAATACCATTTTGGAACTTTAACTGTAGCTGACAGACGGCATTTCCTTTACTTGAAGGTTCATACAGAGGCCACCAAAGAAGAGAAATGGCGCTTTAGCAAACTGATATTTCGTGTTATAGATCAGAATCCCTACTGAGGAGAAAACCAAAGCACCAACCCCTATTAGGATTTTACCTCTGTGCTAGTAACCCTTTGTAATTGGGCAGGGTGGAAATGGTGGAGCCCTTTCTTCCTCAGCCGCCCTTCAGCAGGTACCATCTGATCTAATGGCCATGCCACAATACCTGTGCCACTCAACCTCCCTTCCCAATGGTTGGCTCATGAGACCTCACAGTCCCGGATGGAGGTTAGCACGGCACAGGAGAGGCGACAACAGAGCCCTCACGCAATAGCTTTCCTAGGCGTGCCTTGGTAGGCTTGCTCCCTTTTATTCCTACGCTCTGTGGTTAACCTCGTACTGCCCTACTGGTAACTTAAGCTCCTTTTAGAGATGGCCGAGTCCATGTGACATTTGGTACCCGCTGTGGTGGCTTCCAGTAGACACAGGGTCATTCTTAGGATGTTAGCTTGCTCTCTTTGGAAGGCTGTCCTTGGATCCAGGTCCAGCATCTGCTAAGGATGCTGACTTTCCCTCAGCACTTGCTAGCCTGCTAGCCCAGTTGCTGAAGATTTAAATGGCCAGATTACCATGGAGAAGCCCAGGGACGGTCCCGGTGGTGCTTCTGGTGACTGCTGGGGTAGATACAGGTGTAGGTCCCTGCCTCTTTGTGGCCTTGGCAGACGTCTTCTTTTGCCAGGGCCACATTTAAAGTAGCAAATCTCTTTCCACAGTAAAGTCTGACTTTGAAATAATCAAGTTACATCCTTACTAATACCTTTGGTGACAGTGCCAGGAGAACGCTTGCTTTTTTAGGCTGCTAAAGAATTTTCAGCAGCCTTTCTGTGGCTTGGGGAACTAGTGGCTGGGGTCGGGGTGGGGTTCCCTGGTGGAATTCCTCCTGGGATCAGACTGTAACTGGCCCGGCCTGCTTCCCTGAGCACTCGGTTCCTGTATGTTCTCCCATCCCTGGCCTTCCTTTTCCCTGTAGAGCTGTGGGATGCAGCTGTGTCCTTTTCTTTCCTTGTCACTGGCTAGCCTATGCTTTCTTTTAGGGCTAGATTCATGGGTGGTGGATTTTCCCATGAGCCACTAGTGGTCCTGCAGAATCTTACTGATGTGTTAATTTTTGTCTTCCTGGTTTTATAGAAGGCATCCCTTACTCTCAGGAGAAGTGTTAAGCTGAATGAGGCGGAAAGGTGGGCAGAGAGTGGTCCCGACTCCTACCCAGGGAGAGATGGGCAGCCACGTGAAGCAACAAGCACGGGGGAAGCACAGAGTCACAGCTATCAACGGCAAAGCGGCCAAGGCTCCTGAAGGAAGGGCTGCAGCTGGAAAGGCCACTCAGGCTCTTGGCATGGAGTTGCTCACAATCCTGTTTGAGAATACCTCTCGGTATTAACAGTATTAGCTGTGCCCTCGCTAGATCAATTCTCATTTGCCAGAGCTTGTGAGCATGTTTCCGAGGGGACTCTGGAGATGAGCTCAAGGGTGCAACCTTCAAGACAGTTCATCTTGAATTGCTGGTTGCACCCGATATCCTCATGTATTCTTTCCTAAGCATAGTAGAGAACGCTTCCTGCTAGAAGCAGAAGTCAGGAGATGAAGGCGCAGCCTAAGGAGGACTCACTTTACGTTTGGTGGGAGGACTGTGCACTCTTAACTCGGTCACTTTAGTTTTAGCCTCGAGAGGGGGGCTACCCCCACCTTATTCCTACTCTCTTCGTCCTTTTTACCTAAAAGGTGCCTGATAAAAACGAGTACTGCTTTTCCCTGGTTAAATTTATGGGAATCTGCCATAGCAACTCTCAATAGTGCTATAGGATGAGGGGAAACCTGAGATGCGCATTTGCCTACCTTGCGAAATAACACAGGAGAAAAAAACAAAAGGAGAGAAACCATTTTTAGGCCAAAGTATGAAACACATCACAAGCAAAGACCCAAAGTAAAGAGTTCTGTGTAAGACTAGCTGAATTAACTCAGGTTCTCAAGATGATGAGGCCATGCGCAGTATGCCCATCGGTGGGCGGAGTTCTTGGCGCTTTTACTCTGCCATTACCATCTTTCCACTGTCTAATTAATCATAACAATTGAGGATACTTGGTGATAAATGGGAGGTAAATAAGAGACTGGGCCTGTAAGGGTTTCCGTAGGTCTTGCTAAGAAACTCCAACCCTATGCTTGAAAAATGCAATGTGAAAAGTAGTCTCTAAATGCCCACGACGAAAACTGAGGATTCTGAAGTACATGCTTGCAGGGTCAGGAATAGAAGCTGAATTTGAGATATGACAAGGGAGTCCGTGACTAATAGCAGTCTGGAAAAAAAATGCTAACAGTGTAGACGGATGCTCTCTTTCTGCTCCTGGAGAGAGCCCGGAGTCTCTTTTTGGTCTCTGGGTGCCTCAGGTGCCTGCAGCAGAACCAGCAGCTTGGCTCTGTATCTTGGCAGTTCTGAGTTGTGTTGGTATTTTGTCTGTTTTTTCAAAGCAGGGTCTCAGTCTAGCCTAGGCTAACCAAGAACTCACTCTGGAGCACAGGATAGCCTTAATCTTATGGCAATCCTTTGACCTTAGTCTCCTACATGCTCAAATTACAGGTGTGGGCCATGACACTGGCCTTTCTTCTTGGACATTTGAATGGAGGAGAAGGAGACAGTTCCTCTCTCTGACTCCATCCAGACTTGAAGACTCAGATGCACGCAGAGTTAATGATACTCGTGTGTTGATCTCACTGAACTGAGAAAGTTGGTTCTGTTCGGGCTTTGCATTGTCCCTCATTTTTTTTGTCCCCCAATCTTCTCTTGGAATGATAGATAATAAAACCTTCTCATGGACAAAGGCTGTTTGCTGCCTTCAAAGCCAGAGAGACTGTTCTGGGATTTTCCAGACTGAGCTGATGGTGGTTCCAGCAGGATGAGGCAGCTGAAGTCACAGAGGAATTATGGAGTGGCTGAAATGAAGAGACAGTGAAGGGCTCTGCCCCTCATGCCCACTGGCAGCATGGCAGGGGCAAGGCTCAGCTGTGAGAGAACCTTGGCCACACCCACTCGCTCTACCTAAAAGGGGCAGCTTGAACTCCCCCTCCGGGGGCAGGAAGGAGCCTGTGGCTGAACAGGTCTCAGCACACAGGATAGTCAAAAGCAAGCGTGCAGGTCGGGTCCTGGCTCATTAGTGCTGCCTCTCTCTGGTGTAGCCCAGAGTGTTCTATGGCATAAAGGATTTGTGCGGGTCAGGAAAGGAGGGAGGCTCACAAGGCGTCTTGACTTAGAGGGGGACTGAGAAGGGACTCGGCCAGGTAAGAGCTGTCATTTAGTTTATTCCAACACTTCATTTGACTCCAGTGAAGATGGCCATCATTCTACCCAGTACCTGGCTTTAAATCACGAAGTCAGTACACTCACCATGTACTTATATTAAGTGAGATCCACATGAAATTGGTTTACTTCTTTTCCTATGTTCAACATTTTAAGAGATGCATGTACATGGTAAACTACTTTGTCCCCGAAGTTGAGGCACAGGATATCCCAAAGGGGAGGCACTGACTTTTTAAAGTACTCAGAAAACTTACTCTTCTCCATAGTAACGAATCACTTGCTACATTACTGAGCATTTCAGAAAGCTTAGCAATTTCCCTCCAAGGTAGAAAGTACACTGAAAACGTTAGTAGCTATGGAAACATATTCCTCTTCCCTGGCTATTTTTAGAGAAGAAAACAGAGATAAAGGGTCGTGAGCCACCTCTGTGCCTCACTAGAGATGTACACCAGGGGCCTGCATTATTTGGGGTCATTCACAAAAATATAAGTACACACTTGCTTTCCATACGGGTTGTGCAGGCCAGGCTATGGACCATGAAGAAGAAAACAGGGATGCCTCCTCCCAAGCAGCCTCCTAGGTGGGAACTTCCAACAATCAACAAATACATTTCACGAAAGAATTTTGAACTCATTTCTAGTTATCAAAACACAATACGGAAAAGTTCCTTTTTATTTTTTATTTTTTTATCCGAATCGAAGGAATCCAAGTGAACAGGTATGTGGTGGGGCTGATCCTCCCAGGCCAGTAGGAGCAGATAAATGCCACCTGACATGAGCATCTGCCAGAGTGGAATCAGGTGTGTGCATTCTAGCAGAAGCAAGAAACTGTTAGAGGAAATCATTTAAGCGATCTGCCATTGCACACGGACAGAGAATGTGCTGGACGGTGAGCAAACAACAGTGTTTGGGTCATGGAATGACGGAAGCATTTTTTCACTGATAGGGAAAAATAAGGATGATTCTATGGAGAGGGACATTTGACTTGCGGGTTGAAGAAAGAGAAGACGTCAATCAAGAGCTGAGGCAAAGCAGAGGTGGCATTTGTGACAGGTCAGAATCCACACAGGGGACAGAAGATATGAGAGAGAAGGTTGATGTCTTGCTACCTAGGGACACTTCTGTGAGTCAGTGTCCTGTCTTCTCTAGACCCCTGTGGCCACCATCATGTGTTTGGGAAGTGATTGGTTGAAGGTGGGGGACTGTTTCTCTGAACTTCAGTGAAGAAAGCCTAGCCTGAGAGAAGCCATGCTTCCTTAGGAACCTGTTAGTCGTTTGCAAATTAAAGAATAAAACTTGACCAGTTGGTGAAGTTCTCTTGGGTCCTCTGAATGTTGAAGACAAGCCTGTAGCTGCCTGAGGAGTCTCCTGAGATGGGACTCAAGAAACAGTCTTAATTTTTCACAACTCTATCCCAGAGAGGTTGAAACTCTACAATGGCGGCATTATCAAAAATAATACTAATTATGGTATGCAAAAGGATGCAATCATATATTAAATTATATCTCAGCTGAAAACAGCTTGGCTGCTTTACTTACGGAGTTATTGTTACATGGGTTTGGTTTAAACGTAAACCAACATGCAGAAAATTGCCGACATTTTTGTCTGATATGTTTAAAGAGTATTAAAATTTCTTAACTTTTAGACATTTCATTTTTAAAATCAACATTCCTAAAAGAGAAGGTGACCACTTCCTCTTGTCCTTATCTCTAGAATGTAAGTCTCAAAAGAGAAATGAGTGGCTGTGGGGCTCTAAGGCTGACGTGCTTTTTTCAGAAAGACAGGTGGCTTGTAATTTTTAAAGTGCTGCATGAATTCTTGTTATTTTGAAGGGTCCAGCTCACACTGACTATAATTACATCCAATAATTTCAAGGTAGGTTTTTTTTTCTGCTGTGAACCTAGACAGGTGTAGCTCTCCAAAATTAAAAACACTGAAAATATCTCATTCAGAAAATATCACATAAGAGTTTCTCTTTCCTGGGCTATGTCACTAGGCTGACACTCAGTCAATTCTTCCCTTGCCTTCCAGATTGCAGTCAAGTGAAAATTTCTGGTTTTAGAAGAACAAGACAAGATTTGCCATTTGAGGGTGGCACCAGCTCTTCCTGCTCACTAAGAATAAGTCTTAGTGAATTGAGTCTGTGAATCTGATTCTTGATAAGAATTATTGCTTTGCCTGGTACACACGGGGCATGGGTTCAATTGCTGGCACCCCCCCCCCCACACACACATACACTTGTGGCTGTGTCGTGTCATGACTTTAAAAGACCATGCCAATGGGTCAACTCCTCAGATATCACAGGATTTACAAATGCAATGTGTGCGTTATGACCAAAGGCTTGCTCTCGGGTGTAGCGGCAGGCCTGGAACAAACAGGCAGTATGCGTAGACAAATTAAAGTGAAGAGGCTTACACTGTACCAAACGGAGATACCAGAAGAAGAAAGAAACATTTGGAACATGTATGTATTACGTGTGAAGTTACGATATTGTGTGACCACTAAGTCTACGGAAAGCTTGCTTACGGTTTGGCAGCCGCGTCAGTAAGAGTTTGCCAGCAGCTGTTGGCAGCTGGTGGCCTGAAATGCCTCCAGGGCACTCGGCCCATGACAGAGCCATAGGGAAGGCCCTTTGCTTAGGAAAGACAGTAAGAAGCAGGGTCCCTGTCAGGGAAAACTACAGGCTGTGGCTGGTCACACTGATAAGCAGAGTCAAGCGTCATCACTGAAAACTTAAAAGAGACTGTTTAGATGGACCCCTCAGGCCCAGCCTTTTCTGGCTGGGATGAAGTCTATGGCTCTTGTGTTTCTCATACTCTGCATCCTGCATCCCTTAATAGAAACTGGGGAGGGGGAGGGGGATGTCCTATGCCTACTTAGAAATATCAGCAAACTCTTAAGAGAGGGAGGAATATGTTTAATGCGGAACTGTGAAAGCATCAAATAGATGTCCAAAATGAGAATCCCTGGTGTTTATGTGCTGGCTTCCAAAGCTAAGAACGGAATGAGAGCTGTATAATCAGAAAACTAGGAATATATAGAGGCCTCACTGAAACAGCTCAGAAAAAAAAAAAAAACATTTATGGGGAAAAAAAAACCTGAAAATGGATTTCTAAGTCAATTAGAATTTCCTCTGCTTCTAGTTCCTATTCTTTATACATTCTGATCATTTTACCCACAAATGCCACTGGCTTGAGTGTTTCCTTTAAATTTTGTACTTCATACTCCCAAGGTTTCCGAACAATGATGCTTTGAAGGCTTTAAACAGTCCCGTTTAGCGAAAAGGAAAGAAAGTGGCGATTGTCAAACACAGAAGGAAGTGGAAGAACACTGATCATGTGTGCAGTTGTCCGTGCGCTCAGCCACGGAGATAACATGGCATGATTAATTCCCGTTTCCTAGGAAACACCAAGGCCAAGACATCTTGTGTATTCATAGGACAGCATGATCTCCATAGAAACCTAACAGTCTGGAACAGAGTAGATTCTCAAGGAAGATATTGAAGATAATTTTGTCTGTGGAAAACCTAGTTCTATTCAGAGACCAATTTCATCTGTTTTACAGACGGGAAGGGGCCGTTTCCACGCACTTGCAGGACTCCATCCGGTCCTACACCTTTGCCATCCCATGTCAGGCAGCATTAGGGATCCATGCTGGCACAAGTGCACAGAAGAAGGAAAGGAAACCTCCAAGGGCTTGAAAAACACGTAGATTTAAAACACGAATTAAACAGCACAGCAAAAAGAAAGGAAGGAAGGAGTAAGTCCATATTTAACCTGGTAGGTGTGGGGGCCAGCCGTGATAAGATAAATATGAACAGATCACCCAAAGGCAGTTCTTTACTTCTAACCACTATCACCTGCCAGAGTAGGACTCAGCCACCGATAAGTTTAACAAGATGCCTGAGTCTCAGTAGTTTATCCTGAAGCAGTGCCTGGTTGCAGCAAGAACCACAAGCTGAGATTACCTGAGCACCACCCAAGAACAGACCATCCAAAGGAAACGCCTAAGGTGCCAACTGCTGTAGATGGGATTACCTGCCAGCACACACTCACCTAGATATCCCTAGACAAATGTTAGCCAATCAGGGGTCCTGAACCCCAGAAAGCCCTCAACCCCATCTTTACTACTATAAAAATCCAACTCTAACTGAGTTCGGGGCTCTCCATTTATTCCAATACGTTATATGTGCAGATTGATTGAGTTTGCAAACTTGCATAAAATAAAGGCTCTTTGCTTTTACATACAGGACTTGGTCTCCTTGTTGGATTTTGCGGGGACTTTGCAGATTTGGGCATAACGGTAGCAATATATTATTGAGGATTTGAGGAGATGAAGACATAAAAGGGTACATTTTAAGAAACTGTAACATTTCATTGTAATCTCATTATGCTAACGTAATGCTTTTATGAGTAAATGTATCCAATGCCTAGTCCCTTTGGGACTGGCAGGTGAGCATTCCTGCGCTGGGCTCTGATTCTCCGCTGGGTGGGAATCTGTGCTGTGCAGAGACCACAGCCAGCAGCTCTGCTAACCTCCTGAGCCTTCGCTGCCTGGGGCATTCATGTTTAATGTTCTTCTCGTGGGACTGTGACCAACAGGAAGGATGGACCAGAGAGGTGACTGCCTGCTACACTGCTTACCATGGGGGCAAGCTGCATGAGTGAACTGGTAATCTTATAATTGGAGGAATATTGAGCTCTTTTGAAAAAAATGATATTTTCCATGTCAGACAAGAGCCGTGCATTCTAGAGTACTGGTCATTTCTGATTCTGTTCTTTTTAAGGAAGGTGGGAAGGGAAGCTGGCCTCCTCGGCGCCTGCTCCAATGTTGGTTTGATAGGAACCCTGAAGGCTTGCCCTAGGAGCCTTTCACAGTATGCTGGGTAGGGCTCCCTGCCCAGCTCCAAGGGGATGAGCTGGAAGGTTAGAAACTGTGGGGCTGGAATACCCAAGCTGTAGAGAGCCTACCCGGTTGCTTTCACTCTTGGAACGGTCATTCTTGGCCTTGGCAGTCTTCTCTGCAAGCTTCTTCTGCCTTTGGGGACCTCTTCCAAAGAAAATGTAGTTGACAAAGGCGTACTCCAGAAGGGCCAGGAATACAAAGACGAAACAGCCCATCAGGTACATGTCGATGGCTTTGACGTAGGGGATTTTGGGCAGAGTCTCCCGAAGGTGAGTGTTGATGGTTGTCATGGTGAGCACGGTGGTGATCCCTAGGAAACAAACACGGTATGAGTATGTCATCCCAGATCCCAGCCTCCCTCCTGCTGCAATGCCTTCTAAGACTTTGGATGGAATGTCACCGGAACAAGCCATGTGTCTTGTGGCAACCCATCACACCTTGGAGTAGCAAGCAGACATTTCCGCCTGGGAAGCAAGCCTGCAGTGGCCTCACCCAGCCACTCCTCAAACACAGTGAAGGGAGTCTGGCGAGAGCAGGAGGCAAGATGTCTGGGTCATCTCGAAAGAATGTTCTCCTTTGAGGTTTAGAACAAATGTAGGCAGTCCCAGAATGTAGCGTAAGAACTGAGTGCCTGGCTACAATACACTGGGAGACTAACAGTGGCTTGTGGCTACGGGGACCTGGTCACCAGGGAAGCTAAGAGGGACTGCCTCTCCTATTCCAGGCCTTTCTGGAAGCAGAGGCTGAGAGGTCATTTTTGATTAGGGGAAGACCCAATTCTAAGTTCAAAGAGGAAGAGACAATAGAGCCAAGTGCATAGAACAGGTTCACTCTGGATCCCTTTCTCTGAAATAGAAAAGAGTGCCCACAGGCTGGGTGGAAAGGTTAGCTCAGAGGGACAAGGGAGAATTCTGCTCCTGTCTGGAGTCTCTGAGCTCTTTACAAAGCTCGGCGTTGAGGATTCCTGTCTGTATGCGGGAGTCGGCTGCAGTCCTTAAGGCCAAATAAGAAGCACATTGTATATCCTCCCAGAGCAGGAGACATAGCTTTTTCTAGACAGAGAATACAAATTAAGAGAGTGGAGGCCACAGTGACCAGAGGACATGCTGAGTAGAGACATGACTAGGTCTCGTGGAGCACAGGGAAGCTGTGTGTGAGTGCGTCACTAACCTCTGAATATGCCACAGCAAGAAGAAGCTTGGAACCTGCCTTGGAACCTGTTATTTTACAAAAGGAAGATGCTTGGAGGCCCAGCTCGAAGGACCAGCCTTTTCCACTAGTGCAAGCCACATTCCTGCGTGTGGGCTGAACACTTGCCCTCCCTTCTCATGTAAGGATTACTCCCCTAAGAAGGCGCTCAGAGGAAAGAGACTGGCAGTAATTTTTTTTGTTCTCTCTCTCTGTCTCTCTCTCTCACACACACACACATGCACACTCAAGCACACACACACACGTACATGCTAAAGTACACACACACACACACACAATACCACTTGTGTGGCTGAAGCCATGAGGTAGCACTGGCGTGGTGTCTGCGGTAGAACCAGGACTGTGGGGAGGGTTGATGCTTATTCTCTCAGCTTGCAGCCTTTGGATGCCCATCGGTGCTCAGAGGCATGCCTGATCACCTTGTGGTTCCCAGAGCTGGCCTGGGGCTATGGAACGCAGCCTCCCAGAAGGGGAAAGCAGCAGAGAAATAAGGTAAGGGCTTCTTCGGCACCCTCCTCTGACCCTAGGAGACTGCCAACAGCACAGAACAATGGAGAAACGAGAGACTATTTTTACGCATAATTGCAAACCACGGTTGCTTGTGAGATGTTTGGAAATCTCAGATGTCAGAATATTTTAAGACTTCCTTGAACATTGCATTCATGTGCACCTGGGGACTTTTAAAAATTTGAATGTGGCAATGGGATAATTACAGTTTATGGATAAATCTGAAAAAAAAAAAAAAAAACGCCACGCAAGAGCTACAAAATTAGACTTTCTCACCGTTCTTCCAAAAATTTGCCACATTCGCCACTCCTGTTTTCCCACGCCCGGGAGGCAATCGCCAGCAGCTGTCTGCTCAGCAATGGTAGAAAGGTGTCCCCTTGGTGGCCTCCCATGGTGAATGGCAGCACATTGATTGTGTGAACGAGTGTAGAAGATGACAACCACTCAAGAAATCAAACGGTAGGGCAAGTGTCACAGTAACTGTCCTTCAAAAGCTAGCAGGGTCCCCCTAAAAATACATAATCCCCTCTGAGGGTGGCCAATGACCTGTTCGGTTCTTTCTTGGAAAGCCCCCACTGGCTCTAGAATCGCAGCCGTCTGTGGTCCTCTAGGAATGAGGTTCACTAGGTGTCTGTAAACACCCTTTCTGGGATAGCCCTGGTACTTGCCGCTTAAGACTCTAATGCTTGCCTGACTCCGTAGCCCTCCAGAGGCAAAGCCTGCATAGCACACCATGCTAGCAGAGTCCCTAAGACATGATTTGAGCTTGAATCAGCAAGACACCCAGAAAATGTGGAAGCGAGTTCCTTCACCATGATGAAACTGGATCGCTGCCGTCCACTTCTGACAGACAACTTGTTTCTCATCATGGTGATATTTTTTACAAGCAAGCAGGTACAGTCTGTGGGAGCAGGTAGTGCGCAGAGGGTCACATCTGCTGGATGCTTCATCCTTGCCACGCCAGATGATTGGATCTCTGTGGCTCTTTCTCATTGCTGTAACAACTGTCTAGCAGCAGAGTCCCTATGAAGCTCACGACATTTCAGGGTAGATGAGCCTTTTCCAGGCTTGGGGGTGGGGGATTCCCAAAGATTTTTCATCTGTTTATATTTTTCTCATAAAGAGAGAACTTCAAACTGTATAAACTAACAAATGCAGCACTTGGGTCTGTCCCTACAAATTCGGTCTCTTCATTTAGCATATGCAAAGAAAAAAAAAATCAACTGGTCTAGAAAAGAGGCATCGAACGATATTAAAATTACGAAGAAGTAAAATCTGCAGACAACCTCTGCACAGAAATGTAAGGTTTAAAAAGTCTTCCCCTTAAGAAATACTTGACAATTTAGTACGGAGTTCTTAGCCCTTGGGTACTTGATTCTTTCCAGCGTGTTCTTTTCTACACGGGACAGCTGCAGGAAACTTCAGAAGATGTCTAGCCTAGGAGACACGTGTGCAAGTTACACGGCTGCAGATCTAGCGCAGGCATGCACACGTGCACGCTGTGTTAGAAAATAAGAAGGCTGAGGCTGGAAAACAGCAGGAGAGAGGGAGGCCTGGAGGCCTGGACTGCACCTCTGGGTTAATGGCTTTACCAGCAAATGTCTTGCTAGTTCTTTCCCTGTGAGAGCTCCATTGTGAGTTTCCTCCTCGGAAACTGTTTGAACCCAGAGAAAGGCTGGTCTGGGCATGGCTCATCACCTCTACTACTGATGTGTTTATGCAATAACTTTGTTCATAAAGTTTCATAATAATCAGCTGAGCAGAGAATAGTGTTCCTGAAAATATAAGCTTTCCTTTAATAAACATATCCTAAAAACCAATGTCAGAACCTGTAAGCTGCATATCAATTAACAATCTTATTATTAAATAACCAATGGGCAGCAAACTTCACTAGGATTCTTGGGAATTACTCATAATTAGTTGCTTATTTTGATGCTCATTACATTGTGTAATTTCAATTATGTGCTATAATATCTGACGATTTTCCCCATGACTTGAAAGAGAAGAAAGCTCAAATTAATCAAATTTTTCTGTCGGTGGCATCATCTTGACCAGGAAATATTACTCCTTACTTTAAAATCAAGTGTCAAAAACAGTTCTACGATGCAAATATTCTGACAACATATTTTTCCTTTCATAGGCATGGAAATTCACATTTAAGCCTTATAATTAAATTAACACATCAAGGGACTCAAGCGTGAAATTACTGTTTGCAGACAAAATGTGGCTTGGTGGGGGGAGCTGATGCCAGGATACGTACAGACTGTGGTTGCACTCTGGCTTTTCCTTCCCTTACCACCGTACCCGAGGCGGTCACTTCACCCTTTAGAGAGGACTTAACAGCAGCACATACCAAGGGCAACTCGAGCTGCAGAGGCATCGTAATTGATCCAGAAGGACACCCACGAGAGGATGGTGATCAGGATGGAGGGCATATACGTCTGAAGAATGAAGTAACCAATGTTTCTCTTCAACCGAAAACTCAAAGAAAGTCGAGGGTAGGCACCTACAGCAAACACAAGGGCACAGTGAGGAGCCACAGCAGGCGGTCCGCTCCCGCTTCCAGAGGTCAAGGGCATGCACCCATACACTCCAGGAACTGGGAAGCCGCCCACCAGCGTGCAGTTTGCAGTGATATTTATAAAGGAGGGGAGAAGGAGTGTCTATCAGTTTGAAGATAAGGAACAGCGAGGACGTGGTTCTAAGGCAAAAGGCTCAGCTGAGAGTCATTCCTGGGGAGGTTTTAGGATTAGAGTATAGAATAACAACGGACGGGCTGCTCGGGTTTTCACTGATGACTCTTTACTTTTTATACTTTGAAGTGAAAGATACTTTACTTTTTATACTTTGAAGTGAAAGAAACTTTGGTACAAGACTTTACCAGGCCAAATGGCTGTTACAAGTCCTGCCGTCTGCCCATCCAGAGGACTGGAGCCACGGGCTCTGGACTACAGCATCCAGGCTACTTCAATCATACATAGAGCTGGAGAGGTGGAGAAGCAGATGGAGTCTGGGGAGAACTGTGCTGCACACTACGGTGCCTGCTGGACCAGCAATAGCACGAAGGAGAGCCTTAGAGGAGCACCTTCTAGAATGCAAACTCCACTAATCACCCTGGGATTTGCATCCTGGGCTCCAATCACCACAGTCACCAGCAGTGCAAAAGCAGAGCCTTGGGAGACCACATTAACATGGCATTGTTCCGCCCTTTTCTGCATTGTTTATCTCAGAATAGGCAAGTGTAACCTATTGCTCCCTCCTTCAACACCCAATCACCAGCTCTGACTGCTCCAGCTGTCCGGGCTTCATGTCTCCTGGGTTGGAAGGAGGCTGGCAAAGGAGAAGGCCAAAGGCACATTCTAACCACCTACTTCTTGATCCTTCCCCCAGTCTGTTGAGGGACAGGCGTCTCCACCCGAGAGAGCCTGACCAGAGCATCTTAGACTTTGCCACACCACCTCTCTTAACTGAGAAATGTTCTCATGCTTTTGCATATACAAGTGCATAGTCAATCAGGAATCACCAAGAAGTCAGTTGAAAAGAAATCTTTGAGTAATTTTACTGTTTATGGAAGGAAAAAGCATGGTCACCCACCAGTGAGATGAACGCACCTGCTAATTAATTGTTACACAAAGAACAGAATTCTGGCTGACTATTGATGCTGCAAGGCAAAGGGCATCTTGAATGCTTTCAGAGTTCAGCAATGTCTTATCCTCCATGTTCTGAATTGGCACTTCCATAAATATGTACAAAATATCAGGAGCATGTTTAAGGCCATATCCGAAAGTTAAGAATTCCACCCGAAACTCAATGACTCTTATGAAACTCAAGCAGGAATTTTAAAATCCAAACCTTCAAGCAGAATACAACCCAAAGATATATTAGTCTGACACTTACATCTGAGGAATAACGCTACACAATGAAAATATTTTGTTTTGCATAATTAAACCATTGTTTCTAAAACACTGGAAAACTTAGTATGTGCAACTCAAACACTGCAGTTTTTAACATGCACGGTCCTGCGTGTGAGCCCGAGTGTTCTAGGCAGCATTCAGTTGGCACTGTGTGGTACGGACAGCACACACAGTGCCAAGTCATGTGTGTGTGCAGAACCCAGGCCGCAATGAAGAGGTGGAATGCAGCCCGTCTGAGCACTGAAAAAATAAACAAACAAAACAAAACAAAAACCCCCACAAAACAACAACAACAAACCCACCACAGATTCATTAAACCATTGACCTTGAGTTAATCTTGTTCACTGCATATTTAAGAAACTTTTCCTGTTGAAAACCTCAGTTTTAAAGGCTGTAGCTTACAACCTAAGTTTCAGGTGACCGTGACTTTCCTATACTTTCACTTCAAGACTGGCAGGTTTCTATGTTCCCACAGCCTGTACCTGTCTTTTGCACACTTGGTCCCAGGCTCCTGTCTGTTTGTCCTTGCACGCATGTCTTCTGCAGCAGGATCACTCACTCATACGGCTATTATTTTATGTGAAGAAGTCTTGTTTTAGCCCATGATTGCCTCCTTTACTGCTACCCACACTTCCAGACTGAATCACACAAAAAGTAAACAAACCATTTACTAAACTCGGCATTTAAAGACTAGCTGCAGGGGACTTGCTCGTTGTTTCTAGGGTACTGTGCAGTTTGCCTTGAGAGGCCTGATCAAATGCACATATCAAGTTGTCAACAGAACATCAACACTGTCATCGACGATGCACGACATGTGCAAACACAATTCAGATTCTTCCCAGTTTCCCACCAAATACATATACATGAAATGGTTTATAAATAGCCATTCCCGACTGGTGCAAAGTTAGGTGATTTCCACTTCTGAAGAAGCTATAAATAATCTTCTCAAGGACGACTTCGTGCAGCGCTCTTGTGTTAGCCTGATTCCGCAGTGCCGCCAGGCTAGTGCAAGGGGCTTCTTCTGACAGCTACTAGCTTACTTTGTAAAAGGGGCCCAGCATACATTGTCCCGATCAACACTTTCTTCAGCTCCTACCTCCCGTCGCGAGCATGGCCCTGATGGCGCTTCTTCACTTTTAACAATTCCCATAATCATTTTCTAGGGAAGAGGTCTACCACTGAGCTACATTCCCAACCATAACTTGTCTTCTCAGCTCAGCTTTCTGCTTCACGTCTTCATTTTCGAGCTGTCTGCACAAATCCTCACTTGGATGGTAGGTGAGTATTTTCCCAGTAATATGTTTTAAAACCTCGAATGGATTTGAATGCGGACTTGGAGACACTTACCTTTTTGTGTATAATTATATGTTTATCTATTTTTCCCTCGTGACTGCTGTGGGATGGATGCAGGGGCTCAGGAATTCTGGGAAGTACTCCGTGCTGAGTTTTACTTCCAGCCCTGGCTCCAAAGATGTTTTTCTACATGGAGTCAGTGTCTCTGTAGGCTGGTAATGCTAGCTTTGAACTTGTGATTCTCACTTTCTCAGCCACCCCAGAAACTAGGATTACAAGAATTTTCCAACATACCCGATTTCTTATAATTTCTCAACCTTGCTTGAGTATTAGTTCATAACATAGTCTATGTTATGAACCGACTAACCTATTCAGAGGGCGGTGGCAATTATTTCAGAGTTTGACACAGGGCGAAGTTCTACCCTGAATTTTGTTCCATTTTTCTTTTTTTTTCTTTTCTTTTTTTTTTTTTTTTTTTTTTTTTTTTTTTTTTTTTTTTTTTTGCTTTTTCTAGACAGGGTTTGTCTGTGGCTTTGGAGTCCATTTTTCAAATATCATCAGAGGACTGAAACTCGTACAAAGAAGTCGGCATAGCTGTACAGTCCACGCCATGTAACTGGGGAGTGTTTCCATGCCATTGAGAATTCCCATGAAGGCCTGTATCTTCAGGCCCAGACCCTCGGTCCCACCCCCATGTTTTAGAAGCACAATCCTATACTCAAAATTCTCTTCTGTTGCCAAATGGATTAAAATACTTGGGGATGAAGGTTTCTTCACGTTCCCACAACTAACCTGCTTCAACTTCTACCATGCCTCTGCATAAGCATGCTAGTGTCCAGTCAAGGATATTTTCATTGCCTAAACATCTGCCCATTACTTCTTGACTCAAATCCACTATCTTTAGAAAATGCCTTCCCCTAGTCATATTGGAAGGTCTTGACCCACTCCATTTGCTTGAATCCTTACTGTGTGCACGCTACAAATGTCAGTGGTCACCTTCTGACTTCTTGTCCTTTCTGTTAAAATCTAATGACCGATATTCATTGAAGTTAGATCTGTGTTGGCAGCCGTACTTCCTCAAGATGCCTGTGAAGAACACTGAATAAAAGCCTGCTTCCCACGCCACAGTCGGATGCATCCATGCACCAATGTGTGAAGAGCAACATTTCGCGCATCCTCCAGACTCTGCATTGGAGTTGAATATGCAAGGCATTCAATAGTCTCGGTGCATCTTATTTTGAGATCACGTGGCAGCTTTAAGATCTTAGGGAAACAATTTCCACACTGACTCTTGGTTTGTGATTTGATGTCACTATTAGACCTTGTTAGTTATAGTTTGGTTTTCTTGTTTCGTCACTGTGGGTGGAATAATCTTGGTGTCAGTCACTATAGGTTATGTTACGCCTAAGTCCCAGTGAGTAACAACAATGTATTGTCCCCGAGCTACATAGTCACTCTGTTCTTTCTATCCAACAACTGTAGGATGTTGTGACTGAGGTGCCACATATACCAACCACCTGTTTCACTGGACATACCTCATTGCCAGCCTTTATGTCACCAGAGTGAGAATGTTCAATTTAAATTTAAAATGCAATTAAATTTACCATACTTTTCAAACTTCCATTTCCCCAGTAAAATTTCTTAGTATTTCCTAGAGGCTAACTTTAGAAAACCCATTCCAATACAATCTAAGACCAATACATAGGAAGTGAAGAACCACCAAAATTGCGTGGGAAATTTGTCCTCGGGCAGTGCTGGAGATATAGAGAGAATGACAAAAGCAAAGTCTACAAGATCATTGGAAACGCCTGTGAAGACATTAATCTAGCTTCAGAAATACATGGATTTCTGTAAATTTGCCAAGACAAAGTTTTAGAATTAAGAAAATATACAATTTTTCTAATATATCCGTTTAGTATGTACATTCTGTTTTGAAAAAGTGAAACACTGTGTGAGTATTTATCACTTGCTCTAGACCCTACCCTGAGGTGTAAGAAGTGAGCACAGCACAAGCAGGAAGAGAGAGCGATCTCCAAGAACCCCTGACCTGGACCAGGAGATGCCCACAGAGGCAGCCTGGGCTAGTCCAAGGCACCCGGAGCAACACTGAGGAACATGTTACACCAGGCATACACATACATAGGATTTAGTGATTTGGGTTTCCCACACAATGGCATCAAATACTCATAGATGATTAAATTTATTTGGATGAAGGGAAGAAACGTTTATAAGATAAAGAGTACTCACAAAGCCAGAGAGGCCAGGAATAAGTTTCTTGAATGCCAGTAAACTTAAAAAA